CGCCATTGCGGAGTTGTTTGTGAACGAGCGCGAGGAGAGAGGCAGCCGGGCCAGGAGGGGTGCCGAGGAATTTTTGGGGAGGGGGCGAGGGGATCATGTCCACTCCAGCCAGGCGGAGGCTAATGAGGGATTTCAAGAGGTAAGTGCTCCCTATAGGTCTCCAGGTGGCTCCTTCCAGGGCTAGAACCCTTCCATTAGTGCTTCAGCTGGGATTGACCCCCCTTTTTTAGGGAGGGGAGATGCCTTCCTTGGGGTTCCCTTGCTGGAGCCTAACTACTCTTTGCCCTTCTAGGCGGCGACGAGTACGGGCCTTTGTAGAGAAAAGAGGCAAAGAGGAAATATGAATTTCTTCTGCTCAAAAACTGGGAGGCAAAGTCTTCCCTCCTTTGTAAGAAACTATTTCCACTATCGTGGGCTCTAGCCGTCCCGCGTTAGGGAAGCAAACAAGGATGCTAAACTAAGGATTATTCGCGAAACAAAAGGCTTAAACGATCGGATTATATGGTGTGTGTTTTTTTAATCCTCCCACCCAAAAGAAACAGCTTCGAGAGGGTTCTCCCATTAGGTTGTGAAAGCCTCGAATATAATGCATATTTTGTAAATAAAGTGAGCTGGGTTAAAATGGACTGAGTTGACCACGTACTACAGCTGGCTGGGACGCCTGTAGTTGAGAGAAGCAAGGTGCCAGGTTTCTTTTAACTATTGCTTGGAAACGGTGGCCAGATCTTTGCTTTAAGAAGCTACTGGTTTCTCTTCTTGTCGTCGCTGGCAAGTATTGAACTGTCTGGGGAAACGAAAGCATGTTTCCCTTTCTTCCTAAACCCAGGCGAGAAGATTAGAAGCGTTGCATGAAAGCTGCAAACTTGATAAAAACATTTGTCAATTATGTACTGGTTTTCTGGTTGGTGGATCATAGATCTGTGTGAAATACAAGGGTCTTCGTTATGGCTTAAAACGTTTTATTTGCTATGCTTTTCATCCACTGATTACAAAGCATTTTGCCAGTACCACATAAATGATTCAAAAATAAAAGCAAGCATTGCTGAGTCTCAGGTGGGCAAATCCTGGAGTTGAAAGTAAGATCCTCTTCTTTTTTTAGTGTGTTGAATCTTGTTTCAGTATATTTGGAATTTACTTCACTTTGTTCCTTAATACATATACAAAGAGAATAGTGCACAGCTTCTATTTCAGGCATATTCAGGCTGGCTAATGAATTCCATAACTGAAAGGAAGATGGGGAAAATGTGGATAGAAGAATAATATTCTATAAGCCTGTGATTTGCTTTTTGCTCTGAATCTTCCTGAAAATACTTTTTTCATGAAATACTTGTGAAAAAGCCTGCTATGCTTAAGCAGATACAGTAAGCATTTCAATTACTGTATAGTATAGTAACTCTCTCACAAGGAAGCTTTTTAATTTTCTTTATGGAAGGGGAAGCTTGTACTTCCGTGTTTGCTTAGGGTGCTTCCTTCTGTCTTCTGTGCCTCTTAGCTTTTAGTGACATCTGGAGGCATCTGAGCTTGTTATTGCTAGTTGGCAGAAATAATGGCCATTTTCTTTTCTCCAGCAAGCTGTTAAGAAAGCCTGCCTGTCCAAAATGTCTTTCTGGCACAGCTAATAAAATTCACAAATAAAGCCATGCAACTCTAATTAAACAACAGCTTGTAAACTGAACATTTGGATAATGTGTAGATCATTGCATTAATATTGTAGCTGTTCCCATGCAATATTAACTAGGAAGTCAGCACAACTATAGGATGTCCAATACTGGCTTAGACTGAAATTAGTATAGGAGGAATAGCAGAAGAGAAACATTGATTTTGTAAATGGCAGATGTTTCAGAATGGGATGCTATAGTTGCTAAATCAGCACAGAATTGTATATGTGTACATAGTTCTACCTGGTATTTGGTTAGGATTTACATTGTACTTGAGGCATTAGATATCATTTGGATTTAGCACTGTGTAGAAAAACAGTTATACTGAAAGAAGAATATGAAATACACTTTATTAATGATATCTAACAAAGACAAATAAGAAAGCCATACTAAATACTAAATGAGAAATAGGTATCTTAAAATGGAATTCATTTATTCCACAGTCCTTTCTAGATAGCTAGGTTAGTATAGTGGCCCTGGAGGTGATTTGCTTGTCAGAAGGGTTCCGTTCTAGGCTCAGAATATTTTTATTAATGGGAGGAAGTTTATGTATTTAAACTGGGGATAGTAAATAGCATCTATGCATGCTGTGACCTTCAGCTGACACTGTTCACATATGAAATCCCCATTTCGGATACAAAATCTTCAGCGTGAAAGGCTTTTCACAGCATGGTGTTAATGAAGCTTTAATAACCATAGTTATCTCTGAAATGCACATGGTGATTAATAATTTGGTGGGGCATTGGTGTGCAAGTCTGCTGTCATGTAGCAGAGGGTCACATTCTTTTGCTATCCAGCCAAGGTTTTGGGTAGCCTGTGTTGTTGACATTAAATGGATTGAACTGAGCATGCCTGAAAATCAGAGCTGTATAAAGTTCAGAGTAGTTTTAAAAGGCAAAGAAGTGTAGATCAGTAAGATCATGTCGTTAATTTCCTCTTATGCTTATTATCACTCTGTTGCAAATATTTTCTTTCCAATAAAATTGTATTATTTGATTATAGCTTTATTTCAAATACAGCTCTCTTTCAGTAAATTTAACCTGCATAAAAGGTTGTGAACTCTTAAATGTAAATAAATGAGAATACAGGTAGTCCCCAGGTTAAGAACACCTGTTACGACCCATAATTAAGATCAGAGCCTATTGTAGTAAAATTCGAGTTAAATATACAATGATTGGAGCTAAATACACAACAGTTTGAGTTAATTACACAATACTACTTATAGAGTATTATACAATAATACTGTTCTGGCTTACGTACAAATTCGACTTAAGGGCAGACCTTGGGAACAGAACTCGTTCTTAATCTGTAATACAATGCCATAATGCCTTAGTAAAGACATTTGCATATTACAATAGCTGAATGGTTTGGCAAGGATAAGGAAAGTTTTCGTACAGTAAAATTATAGACACATTTATCACATGGAGGAACTTTGTGCTGTTTAACTTTTGTGTAAAGGACAGCCTGTTGATAATTTAATTTGAGTGATTGAATAATGTAAAACGTTAAGATCCTTCCAGGCTATGATAAGACAAAATATATGGGTATTTTGGAGGGATGGAATACCCTGTGGAGGTGAGTTGAAATGGAATAGGACAGCACACTCAGAAATCAGACTGTTCAACTAACCAAAATAGAATGGCATTGTTTGTTTGCTGTTTGAATAGAAACAAAAGAGTTAGAGGTCTCCAATCTTTACTACTTTCACTAAATTTATTGGTGCTTCTGATAGATAAAATTAATATCCCCTCCCTGGAGAGGTACAACAAATACCCAATACATGGAGATAACTGTATGGAAAAGTAATATCAGTTATTATCTCCAAGTATTGGATTTATTTTTTTTGTAAAAAAAAGAATAGTCTGACCAGTATCGTCTAAATTGGAGAGAATGCTTCTATATTTTATATTTTTCTCAACCAAGTCAATAGTTTTTTCAAGAGTTAGGCAGTACAGTATTTGGACATTGATGTGATTCTGATTACTGTCAAGCTGCATAATTAGTGCTTGCACACTGCAGGATTTTATATTTATATTTTTGTTTATTGAAAGATTACAAGAAGATCCACCTGTTGGGGTCAGTGGTGCACCATCTGAAAACAATATAATGCAATGGAATGCAGTAATTTTTGGGTAAGTGAATTCCCTCAGTTACAAAGAAAAAAGTTTTAAAAAATGTTAAGTAATTCTATGTGAACACGATAAATAATAATGACTACCAAATATGCATTGATAAATGTCTTCCCAAAGTTTTCAGAATAAAAAATATTCTTAATAATTTTAAATATAAATGTGGCAGCATAGCAAGGCTATGCCTGTCATAATGTTTCACATTTGGCAGAAAATCCCATATTGTGCCCATTTTGCCTCAAATTATAAATGCAAGTAGGACTTTTGTGAAAGCAGATGCTCTCAGGTACTAGAAAATTAAATTTATCTTCAGTTATATATTCTAAACATTTATGGGACACCCAGTTGCAGCAGACCAGTTATAAATGTGAGTTTTATTTTTGTTCATTTACAGTGCAAATATAAATTAGAGCAAGACTTAATCACTATAGATCTTGTTTCTCTTTCCAGGCCTGAAGGTACTCCCTTTGAAGATGGTATGTTTCTTTAAACTTCACCTTTTTTGCTTTTTGTTCATTAGCTCATATTTCCTACATCTGATACCTGAAGTAGATCCTGAAAAATAATATATAAGAAATAGTAACCAGCAGCCTAACTGTAGCAGGCACTTCATTTGCTTCTCAGTGACTAAAAAAAACTGTTCAGAAAACATCTATTGGCAAATAATATCACTAGTTGGAAATTAAATACACTAACCTATTTGCCATATGGAACAACAAAGTTAAAATATGTTTTAAACAAAAAGAAAGATTTCTCCAAGGAACATTTATAGATTAAGAATCACAACATGGATTTTTTTCACGCCTCATATCTGTTTTTGTCATCTGGATGGGAGCCA